ACACACACACACACACACACACACACACACACACACACACACACACAGAGAGAGAGAGAGAGAGAGCGAGAGAGAGAGAGAGAGAGAGAGAGAGAGAGAGAGAGAGAGAGGCAGAGAGGCAGAGCACTTATACACATAAAATAAAAATAAGTAACTCAAATATTTTTAAAACATATATACATGTACATATACGTACATATGTTAATACGTATGTGTTGGCATCACAGAATAGGAAACAGAATCATGAAAGGAGTGAGAGATTTTAGGGAAGTGGGAAGTAGAGGTGATGGAATACTTGTGATAATGAAGCCTAAGGATAAAATGAGGGAGAATGGGAAGCAGCTGGAGGGGGTGGAGGACCAGTCTAGGAGGAGACTGAATAAGAATAAAATATGATGTATAAAGATGCTGTGGTCGAACCCACTACTTTGTATGTTAACCTAGAAAAATAAATATATTTTATGAGCCTATAGAAACCATAATATAAACAATGTGTATTCCCTGTGGGGAAAATGTGCTGTGTCTGTTAATTAGGAAATGAACGCACCATCCTTTCGTGTGGAGGGAGGAACTGACGGGGCAATGCTTCTCCATTACTACTCAGACAGACATGGTCTGTGTCACATTGTACCAGGTAGGAAATGGGTTACCCCATCCCATAGCTCTCCAGAGTGGCCATACATCTGCTGTGAGCAGGGTACTCCACCTCCTGTAGTAACTGATTTTCTTGCCATCATGATCTGAATGATCTGGAGATTTTTAGAACTTCCGGAACACCAGAGAGAGACATGTTTTTTTAACACTCTGCACAGTTGGTTGCATAGCTATGATAATTCTGTGGAGATTTTTGTATTTGTTGACTTTTTTGTTTGTAAATCAGCATTGTAGGAAAGTCTTGGTATGTAGACTGTTTTTGTTATTTTACTTCAAACATAACTACTTCTGTATTCTAAGTCCACAAACTCCTCCATGGAGGTGCATATCCAGCCCTAAAACCCTATCTAGATGGTTGGATATTTCACACTCTCCTTAAGTACCCTGCTACTCTGTTTGTAGATGTTGCCGATCCTTTGGTAATGTAGATTCTGTTGTTGATGGGCAACTTCATATTTGCTTTCTCCATATTTTGTATTTTACCCCTGAGATGGATTCCCAAAATAACAATTTTGAACACATGACATTTTTAATGTATTTCTAGTGGAATTTTGCTTCTTTCATGTACGGAGTATGCTTAATGAGTTACATGTCTTCCTGAAATAAAAACATGAATAGATGTTGAAGTAGAAATTATAATGACAGGGACATATTTGGTATTCAAATTCACAAAACTTAAATCTCTGAACGTTCTTGACCCTGAGCCTTCATAGGCTGCCTATCTTGAGGCAAGGCACGAGCTAGGGCTTGGTAAACTGAAGGGCACTCACCAAGTTGTACAACAGGATATTGTGGTACTTTTTGCCAGTGTGCAGGCTTCTGCCATTCTTCACCTCGGGTGTCATTCTGTTGCAGGCATCATTGAAGCTGTGGCCAAGGACTTCTTTGACACTGATGTGGCCATGAGTATCCTCGATATGAATGAAGAGGTGGAAAGGACAGGGAAGAAAGAACATGTCGTGTTTCTGGTTGTGCAGAAGGCTCGAAGACAGATAAAAGGGGCAAAGGCAAACCAGCCGCAAGACAGTGAGGACATCCAGGCAGACCAGGAGGTACTGAATGTGCTGTGTCTTTAGAGAGCACAGTTCCCTAACTCTTGAATGGTGGAATGCAAGGCAAACTTTCCCAGGCCTGGCTTTATTGATCCCAAGGACCAGGTTATTCTGGGCTGTGATGGGCTGCACTTTGTGCTGTAAGATCCTTCACCACACCACAGACATCTCTCTATCCAAGATAGATATTCAATGTAGCTAGAATCTTACCTCTTAGTTGTGGCAATCAAAAATGTTTCCAGACATTGCCAATGTCCCCAGAGTATAGATGAGGGTAAAAAAAGTCACTCCTAGCTGAGAATTGCAAAATCAAGGTTAACTTAATGCAGACTTTCTAGGCTATACTTGAGCCTGTAAAATGTTCATGTATAGAAAAAAACAAAGCTGGATATGGTAGTTTATACCCAAATGCACTTGGGATGCTGAGGCAGGAGGATTGCTATTATTTTGAGTCCAGTTTGGGATAAAGAACTTGAAACCTCAGCAACAATGAAACATGAAAAAAGGATTTGAAGTTGGAAACTGGTATGTTATATCTTAATCCTCTTGCTATGAGTGGATCTATCAGGTCCTCAGTGCCCACATAGCAAGTGGAACCAGTTACAGGTCTAGTGTGCAGACAAGGGCCCATCCTTGGCCACCTTAGCTACAGCTCATACGGTAATCATTGCCAGTTTAGATGCTACATGTGTTAGGTTAAAATCTCACTGAATCCATGTAGCCTGTTCAAACACACAGGTAGGACTGTGATTCCTGAAGACCTGAGGGAGTTATGTCTTACAGTGTGCAAAGCTGTTAGTGTTTGCTCCCTGGGAGAGTATTCAACCCCAGGGAAAGAGGCTTTTTTGAGAGTGGTCCCAGACAAATGACAACCACAAAAGCCACTCTGAGCCAGTAGCTTCTGAGTTTGTTGTCTCACATCCAAGAACAAGGAAACAAAGAGCTCCTGAGATGGGGGAAGGGTTTCAAGAGAGGAATATTGATTGACATGCTGCTTGTCTATAGGAACTGGATAGACACTAATATCATCTTTTTTTTGGAACTGGCCATTTTTTAATGTATCACAGTCTGAACCATTAAAAAGTCCACAGATCCCCTGCATACTCACTTGGCCCAAGTTGAGAGTTACTCATCGATCTAGGGGAGGACGATGTATGCTGTGTGATCAACTTCCGGTCCACCAAGAGCCATGTACTTTCTGCCTAGGGAGAGGCATCTCCTATGTCAAGAGGATGTTCATTTTGCGTGTGAACATCTTCCGTCTGCCAAATCTTTCTTGTCGTTAACTAGCCCACCGCTGTGCATCTTCAGTTGCTACAAACCTTTTGCTACTGTAAAGGAAGACTGAGGAGAGCATCCTTCCAACTGCTTTCTCCACATTTTGTATTTAGCACTGGGACATAGTCTCAGAGCAACACATAGGGAAGCGTGAGCTGCTAAGCATTCCCTGGAGTTCTTGCAGAAATATCTAGCTGCCTTTGGTGGAAAAAAGGTGTGAGGATTAATTGGTGAGTACACCTTAGTGCTCCTGGCTCTCGATAGAACTGACCTTGAAAGCACTCAAACTATCCTCCAGCCACCATCATGCTTTGGTGTATACGGATGGCTCAGCAGCAGCAGGGCTGGTTCATCTCCAGTCCTGTGACCAGGTATCCGAGCCTCATTTTCTTCCCTCTGCAGGCTCTCCAGGGAATACTCCTTAGGATGAAGGAGAGATACTTAAACATCCCTGTTTGCCATGGGGAGAAAGCTCACTCAGCTGTTATGAGGGCATCAGTCCTGTTTGGAAAAGGTAAGCAGGCTACTCTGCTGGGTCCAGCTCTTAGATCAGAACAACTGCCTGGTTTGCAGGGGAGGAGACCCATACACAAATAGGGCAAAGCTTCCTGCAATTTCAAAGCCCAATTCTCGCAGAGCTTGGATTTGGCATCTGTGGTCTTAACTTTTAAAAATCAGCTTCTAACTTGCCACAAATCAGCTCTTTTGTTTGTCCTGGGTGACATGGAGACACTGTCATCTCTGTAATCAGGAAAGCCACTAGCTTGGACTCAGTCCCAGATGCTGACTGTGATGCAGAGGCTGGGCACAGACATACTGGCCACAGTGAGGTCTGCATTGCTTCTGGACCCAGACCTTCACTGGGGTGTGTTTTTGGACTGGAAATCAGTAGCTAACCACAGCTGGCCAGGAGTATGAAGGACAGAGGGCAAGAACCAAGAAAGTGCATTTCTGTCTCTGTCTCTAGGAAGCTGTGACATGAGACAATCCCTTCCAGTTTTCCATTCACAAAGTGAAGGTGGTAAGCTTATCACACCGGGTCTTTGGGCACAGAGCTGGCCTGCCACCCAGCACGTAACTCTCAAGTCTGAATCAGAGCTCTTACCCAGTGGAAGAAGGGAGCTAGATGGTTCTTGTCATGGCCTGGTAGGTCAAATGACAGGCATCTGGGTGAAGGTCTGCAGGGCTCAAAGAGCTGCATTCTGAGTCCTTCAAGCTGTAGCAAACACAATTGACATCCTTTGTCTAGGAGATTTTCATATCAAAAAGGTTCCATTGAGAATCCACAACCCTTGCCAAATGGGACTGTTGGTTAAATTTTCACGTGCCACCCTAAACTGTCAGTCTAAAAAGCTCCATGGCAAATGTCCCTGATGCTGGGCCCGGCACATACTCACTCCTCTTCTGGCTCATTGTCTGCTTGTCACCGTTTCAATGCCAGCTCTGTTTTCATGGTGAGACATACTCAATTGGCCCAGAAACTAACTCTTCAGCAGCGGGCAGAAACTTGGCAGGGGGCAGGAGGGCTTCTCAACCTGGTCGCAAATTTTCTGTTTGTTTTAATTTGGACAATAATTGCGGTGGCCATCTGGAGAAGCTGAGGGAGCCTGTGCTAAAGAGTGGGAATCACACTCAGGCTGTGACATACTTAAGATTCTAACCCTGCCCAGGCAGCTCTGTGAGGGCCGCTCATTAGGGCTTTCTCTCTCTGTGTCCAGGGCCCCTTGGGGACACCTTCCAGCCTGTCTATCCTGAGAGACTGTGGATTGAAGAGGAGGTGTTCTGCAATGTTTTTCCTTTCCACATTGTCTTTGATGAAGCAGTAAGAGATTCTTTTCCTCAGAAGCTTGGGATAGGGAATAAATCAGGATTGGGGAGTCCAGTTCATCACTATTATGGCTGTAAGGTCTTAGATCCCTGGTTCACAGGACTTAGGAGACTAGATTTTGCCTTGGAGGGTCCCCTGACCTTACTTTATGTTATAGACTCTTCTGGAATTCATGATCTTCTTAAACAGCAAGGAAGTTGAACCAATGAATAAATGGAAAAGTTTATGATCAGAAAGAAAAGTTGAAGGATGACTTTAAAATTCACTTCAGAAATACACATCAGACTACAGCCTATACCCACGGTCCTAAAAGTGGCCTGCCACCCTCTGTGACTACAGCAGATTCTCAGTCCCACCATGCTTCATTTCCTGCATCTTCGTAGAGCTTCCTGCTGTGTCCTGTGTTTGTGATGTGTGTGTGTGTGTGTATGATCATTTAAATTTGATTGCTATCCATTTCCCAGGATAAAAATATCTTTTTTCTAGAGCTTGCATGTGATGGCTCACATCCATAATCCTAGCACTCAGGAGGCTGAGGCAAGCATTAAGTTCACAATCAGCATGGGCTACGTAGTGAAAGACAGAACAAACCAGATGTAGAAACAGATGATATAGACACGTGAACTGAGTTGACTTTTAAAAATTCACTTAAAGGGCATGTAGGCAAAATGAATTCGGTCAAAAGTACCCGTCAAAATGTTCAGCCACTATAAATTTCTCTAGTGTTTATTGGAACTCGTATGCATATCTCTGCCAGCTGACTGTGCAGCATGAACTCTACGACGTGACATATACTCACCTAAGGATAGTATCTTCCCTCAGAGAAGTGATGGTATCACAGTGGTAAATAAACACCCCTAGGCAGGAAACAGAATTTATAAGTCAATGAATGCCAGTGCTTCTCCAATGCCACAAGATTATTATTACTTGTGCCACTAATGTTTTCAGTCCACCTGACTCTAAATGTTCCCTTTTCAGGTTTTGTGTATAGAATAACAGAAATTGAATGATACATGAGGTTTATTTCTGTGCCTTGCCTGAGTTCTTATGGTTAATAAAGGCTCTGAGGCACTGTGTTGGTATTTGACATGTGATGTCAAGGTCCCCATTCCACACTTCCTTCTGGGCATTCTCTAGAGAGAGGAGAGAAACATTGCCCTGGTCCCTGGATGAACTGGTGACAGGTCCAGAATTTGCTAGTTTATGACAGATGTCATGGGTTGTAAGGGGGTACGAGGTATGGGGGAGACAGAGAACACAGAATGAAGAACGCTTGGCCTTGTTGAGCCTGAATGTCTCTTGGAAGTCAGACTGTGCTTCTGAGCCCCCTCCATGCTATTTCATGCCTCTTCCAAATGTCGGCTGCAGATTTGACTGCAGCTGACATTAAATTATAGTTCTGTTGTGTTTATTCCATTACTGGCCTTCCTTCATCCCAGTGAGTCACAAAACAGAGCCAAACTGTCGTATCTAAGGGAAAGCTAATGGTGGAAGTGGCTTCCTGTTCTCCAGACTGACATGTGTCCTCTGTGGATAGCTAAGGGTCAAGCAAGCTGGAGTGAATATTCAGAAGTATGTCCCTGGAATCCTAACCCAGAAGTTTGGACTAGATGAGTATTTCTCCATCATCCACCCTCAAGTTACTTTCAACATCTCCAGCATCTGCAAGTTCATTAATAGTCAATTTGTCTTGAAGACACGAAGAGAAATGATGCCCGAAGCATGGAAGAGCCAGCCGACACTCAAACTCCGGGGTAAGAGCCCCCATACCTTTCCTTTCTCCCTGTTAGGTCAGCCAGAGTGGGAAGACAGCTTTTCAGCTTCCCCCAAGCCAGGGAAGGGACTATATTCAGAACAAGTTGGGCTTTTTTCCCTCTGATATTTATACTTGGCCTGATCAGTAAATAACATTTTATATTTTTAATCATTGGTGGTTTAGAGATAAATGAACTAATTAATAAATGTATATATACACATAAGCATATTATATGGAAGCATATGCATTCCAACAGTATATGATATGATTATATTGTATACTAAAATATGCAATTGTAATTTTAAATTCTATAGTTATAAATTTTTGCTCTCTGTTATGTGAGAAGTAATATATTAAGTTAATGTCTATCCTTTCTAAAGCAACAAATTCATCTGACTTACTGGTAGGGGACACATTTTGGTTTTGTTTGAATTATGACAGAAGTTTTTCTATATTTTAATCTATACTACAGGTGATTCATATTAAGAATGCTTACAGTTTGTACACACACTGCTCTATTCATCTCCAGAATATTTTTAAATATTTGCAAAATTCAAGCACTGTGCTTATTAAACAGTTGCTCCCAGTTCCTCTGGCAACCGACTTGCTCCCTTCATCTCTGGGACTGTGGCTTCTCTAGGTACTGAGTAAGGAAGTGGAGTCTTCTAGGACTGGTTCCTCTGCAATTGGCTCGTTTCCTTTTTCTTTTAGGCTGAGCAATAGCCCAATGCCTCCTGTCTCTACTCATTCATCTGCTGATAGTGTTGCCTTACTTCCTCTGGCTCCTGTGGCTATCTGTGACTATGGGATCCACATATCTATCTCCTTGAGTCCTGTATTTCAGTTCTTTGGAGAATGTAGAGACGTGGACTTGCTAGACCATATAGTAAATTGATGTTTGTTTTATTTTTTAATTGAAAATGTTTTCCATACAATACATTTTCATCATGTTTTTCTCCTCCGAGAAAAACATTCCTCTCAGATCCTCTCAGCCTCCTACCCACCCATCTTCATGTTCTCTCTCTTCAAAATATACAACCAAAAGAAAAGGGAAAAATAAAACACCAAAAACTCTACATGCAACACACACACACACACTCACACACACACACACACGAAACCAAAATAAACAAGCAAACCACAAATAAGACAAAAAAGTAATAACTCCAACAAAGCAAAATGAAATAAAAAGTCTACAAAAATCTCACTGAGTTTGTGTTGGCCAATTACTCCTGGACATGGATCCTACCCTGAAGTATGGTTGTTATACCCAGGGTGACTTCATTGGTAGCAAGTAACAATTATAGATAATTTCTTGGATAGGGTTAGGAGATTATGTCCACTTTCCCCTCTCAGCACTTGGTCCCCATAAAGCTTGAACCTATGTAGGTCCTGTGAATGCTATCAGTTTCTGAGAGTTCATATGTGCATCAGTCCTGTTGTGTCTGGAAGATGTTGTTTCCTTGGAGTTGTCAATCCTCTCTGGCTCTTAGAACACTTCTACCTCATCATCCACTGAGCCTTGAAGTGAAGGATTTAATGAGGATGTCCAATTTAGCACTGAGTGATCTAAAGTCTCTTACTCTCTGCACATTGTCTATTTCTGCATCAATTTCTTACCTGCTACAAGAAGCTTCTTTTAATGTGGGTTGAGTGAAGAATTGATCTGTGGCATTATATAATGTACGTATGTGTGTATGTATGTATATATGTATGTACATATGTAATGTATATAATGTATATATGTATATGCATGTATGACTATGCATAATCTATATATGTATGCATGTATATATGTGGCACTATGCCAACAGAAGTCATTTTATTGTCATGCTCCTTTAACAGAATAATAATATTTATTATGCCCATGACCTATCTAGTCTCAGGTTCTTGGCCAGTTTAGCAGTGTCAGATGTGGGTTCTGTCTCAGGGATTAGGCCTTAAATCTAATCACGAAGCAGTTGGTTCCTCCCATGACATTTGTGCCACTAGTGCACACATACAAAAAGTGTATCTTGGAGGCAGGAGTAGGGGTGGACAAAGACTGAAGAAAACCTTCAAAGAAATAGGGAAACTCTAGAGAGACATCCGTGGCCGAAAGCCTCAGGAAGCAAGAATTCCAGAAGGAACATTAGGTTCACACCTAAGACAGTAGACGAGCAAAGCAAAGAGAAAACCTAGCGACCTAGCTGCTGAGGTTGGCATCTCAAGCTCAGAACTGCAGTCACAGGAAGAGCTGCTGTGTAGAGTGGCGATGAGTGAATGGAGACAGAAGCATAGATGATTCTTATAACATATGGCTATGCACTGAGTGGCTAACAGGCATGTGGTGTGGGTGATGCTTGCCTCTCATTCCATCTTGGAGACATTCTACATTGTCACATTCCTCTCTGTGATGGGCAGGCCAGATGATCTGGATGGAGTTTCTGAAGTGCATGATCTTCATGTGTTCTCCAAAGCTCCGTAGCCTACAAGAGCTGGAAGAGAGCAAGATGCATCTTTCTGACATTGCTCCACACGACACAACCAGGGATCTAATCCTCCTCAACCAGCAGAGGCTGGCAGAGATGGAGCTGTCCTCCCAGCTGGAGAAGAAGAAGGAGGAGTTGCGTGTCCTTTCCAATCACCTGGCCATCGAAAAGAAGAAGACAGAGACCTTGCTGTATGCCATGCTGCCTGAACATGTGGCCAACCAGCTCAAGGAGGGCAAAAAGGTGGCTGCAGGTATGAATTCTTTCTTTTAAGGTGATCTTGGAGTATAGGGAAGATCACGCTCATGCTAAGTGGTGTGAATTTTCAACCTAGGCAGGTCTGGACATGATTTCTGGCTTCATCACTTAGAAGTGGCACCGTCTTGGGCTAAGTGGTTAACCTGTATCTCTTTCATTTCTCTTCACTATATTGGAGATAATAAAAAGAATGCAAGTTGAATGTGGATTGTTTTCAGAGTAGGACATGGACAAGGAGGCTCCAGGGCTGCAGTGATGACTCTGGGCTCTTATAGAAAAGGAAATTGTATACCGTTTTGTAGACAGTGAAGACTCACTGAAGTGTGTGTGTGTGTGTTGTATAGGAATGTGTATGTGTTAGTGTATGTGCCTATATGCACATGGAGATCAGAGATGTCTGTCTCTGCCTTCTCCAATTGAGATAAAGCCTCTCACTGGTATCGGAGTTATGCTAGAGGACAGCAAGCCTCACAATATTCAGGCTTTCCTAGCATATTTCAGGGCTGTACGTAGATTTCCATGTGGTTGAGGACTTGGACTGAAATCCTCGAGCTTACTTTTTCAACTATGCTCGCTGGCCAGTGAGCTCTTGCCTCTACCTGTCTCTGCCTCCTCCAACCCCAACCCTAGGGCTATAGGTAAACATAGTAAGTAATCTTACCCTCTGAGCCATGTCTCTGCTCCCAAGTTCATTTTTCTTATAGTAGAAGTGGCATGACTAGTTCCATATATGCCAGTTTTGATGTAGTGTAGTGAAGAGGGAAGACTGGGTGCTCATCACATAGCAGTTGGTGATAAAGGCCTGTGCTGAGACTCCGTGAGGGGGATCAACAAGGTCCCTACAAGGATTTTATCCTCATGTAGTAGGGAGGGTCAGTGGTGAGGACTCTGAGGTTGCTAGTCTAGAAACCTGTGATGATTTATCTCAAGATGGAGTAGAGGCTTGGGAATATGTCTCAGGGTAAGAGCACTTGCTCTGTAAACATGAGGACCCAAGTTCAAATCTCCATTACTCACATAAACAGTGCTATATGACCACACAGAAGAAAGTGAAAGAAAACTGAGCCACACAGTGAGAAAAACTTAGTTCAAATCCTGAGTATCCACATAAAAAGCTATATGTGCCAATAACCATGCACTGGGGCTGGGGGATCCAGAGACAGGTAGATGCAAGAGCTCACTGGCCAGCAAGCCTAGCAAAAGGTGAACTTCTAGAGCAATAAATCTTCTTGAGCAGAGACCTTGCTTCAAGGCAGTAAATCAGAGAGCAATAAAGGAAGATACCCAACTCTTTCTTCTGGTCTGTGGGCTCATACAGCTGAACTTTCATGTATATGCAACACACACATACACACACACACACACACACACACACACACACATACACACGCGAAAGATGATCAGGCCTGAGGCAATGGCAGTCAGGTCAGTAGAGAAGTGTCAAGTGTGAGATATCTGCAGAACCTGTCATAACAAGAGCAGTACGTGGTAGGAATTGTAGGCAGAACTAACAGGAAAGTTCTAGCATAGAGCTATATAGGTCTAGAATCTATGGTACTGTGGGTAATAGGTAATTCGACCTCTATGAATGGTGTAAGACTATCTGATTAACTTTTTGTCAAGTTGACATGAACTGGAATCACATGGGATGGTTGGGGAGATGAGAAAGATCTGGGAGGAGATGAGAGAAAATCATAGTCAGAATGTATTGTATAAAAACAACCTTATTTTCAATTTAGAAAATGGCCATAATGTAGAATAAAAACAATTTTAAAAATCAACTGAGATGAGAAGGCTGAGAACAGTGGAGGTAGGAATGGCAGTCGTGTGGCAGAGATCGGTGGCAGAGGGATACACAATGAAGAAGGCACCCACGAAGTTCTGGGTTTCAGCTGTCCACTTAGCACATAGTTGTTGAGTAATTTCTCATGCCAAGCCCTGCTATACACACTAGCAGGCAGCAGATATCAGTATAGGCAGTCTCCCATCTTAGTTCTCACCAAGATGAGAAGTGTGCTCAGGCAAAGAGACAGCAGATGTGCAGGCCCCAAGGCTGGGGGTACTCCTCACACTGAGATAGCCCCAAGAAAGACTGTGGGCTGGGTTAGAGCAAGTCAGATGGAGTTGCTGAGTCATAGGATCAGGTAGCAGGGTCCCATTTGTAGGGTATGCTATGGATTCAAATGAAGTCAGGATTATTAGTTTACCGAAATCTTTGTCTGCCATGTAGAAGTTAGTATAATTAGGGACCATGTTAGAGAAGGAAAGAAATAAGAAAATATGGCAGCCCTGCTGTTTACCCAGGCAGACTCCTCCAGACTCAGGCAGGCATTCCTATAGTTCAGGGACTGCTTTTGGACCAAAGCAAGTGGACCCTTGACAGGGGCCATTTCTCTTAACCCATGGCACTTGTCACTTCTCAGTGGGAACAGTTGTGTACTCATCCTGTTGCATCCATCGAGCCCAGGAGCTCCCTAAGGCCTGCAGCTCCTTTTGCCTATTTCATGATTCTTGTGAGATACTGACTTTCTTACACCAGGAACTCAACGTAAGTGCTCACATCTGTTGACTAGATGGGGAGCCATGAATGACAGCCAGCTCAGTTCTCCCAAGGCACAAGCAGGCGTGGACTTCAGAAGACACCAAAATCAAAATTCATAGAATTATTATTTGGTATCCTTGCCTACCACTGACATAGTTTCTGTTGCAGGAGAATTTGAAACATGTACAATCCTTTTCAGCGATGTAGTGACATTCACCAACATCTGTGCGGCCTGTGAACCTATCCAAATAGTGAATATGCTGAACTCAATGTATTCCAAGTTTGACAGGTTAACCAATGTCCACGAGGTCTACAAAGTAAGTGTGTATGTGTGTGTGTGTGTGTGTGTGTGTGTGTGTGTGTTTGTGAGAGAGTGTGTGTATGTGTGTCTGTGTCTCTGTTGTATTTGTGTGTGTGTGTGCGCACACACATGCGTGTGCTTGTGAGTATGGGTGTGCATGGGTATGGTATGGCCTGCTTCTGGAATCAGACCAGAGAGGAAGCACTTAAGCCCATTTTCCTTTATTGTGTCTGTACCAGTCTGAAAAGGAGAAGGCACACAGGAAGTGAGAGAAGTGCTTTAGGAATCCTCCCTTTCATAAAACCCATGCTCAGATGGTATTTTGGTGCCCGTGAGCAGCAAACAGTACTTTCCTAGGCATTTAGTCTCCTGCTCAGCAGAGAGTTTCATCCACATAATTTATTATCTAATATAGAACATCAAATGACTACCCAGGAACTTTATCTTCTCTGGGATTCATTTCTTTTCCAAAATCAGAAAGGAGATCGGGGGTATGGTTCAGAGGTAAGTTGCTTGCATAGCTATGTGGGACCCTGGGCACTGAAAGAAAACCAAAACAAAAATCATAAAAGTCTTTTGGCTATCTTGTGTTCCTTCTTCTGTGTTCCTGCTCTTTATTTCCCCAGCAAAGAGTCAATAGCTTAAAAAGATCTTATTTTTTGGCAATGCCTGGGAAATGGCAGCCACATGTAGGTGTTTGGTGTTATAGTTGTGTTGGTAGCTATAGGTGTCTGAAGCTCATTGAAAACTGTCTTTGTCCCGGGCAGGTAGAAACAATAGGTGATGCTTACATGGTGGTGGGTGGAGTACCAGTACCCACTGAAAGCCATGCTCAAAGAGTTGCTAATTTTGCTCTGGGGATGAGAATTTCTGCAAAAGAAGTGATGAATCCTGTCACCGGGGAACCCATCCAGGTAGGGAGCAAAAGAGCTCTTCATTTAAGACAAAATATCACACAGAAACGTAAAGCTCTAGTCTGTCCAGGTCAGGTCTGGGGTATGCTACAGGGTTCACAGAGCATCGTCTATTCAAAGTCCTCCATTCTCTGGCTCACACTCCTAAGCAAGAAAGCTACAAAGAAGGCTCAGCTTCCCCAGGCCTCAGAGGAGGCTATTGGCTCTTGAGATTTTCCTGTGGCTAAAGGACAACCTTCTTTGTGACAGCATGGCGCTGAGCACACCTTGTTTGCAATCTGTAATTCTTGCTCTTTTGGTCAAGCTTCACAGCAGGTGACTTGGCTTTACTGAGCAGCCGAAGACTCTGGCTTGAGGAAATGCTTGTCTCCAATGTCCCCAACAGCTCAGAGCCCAGCTGAGGTGTATACTGTTACTGATAAAAATGGAGACCTGGAGAGGCAAACTTGGACAATTTGGTGAAATTTGGTTTTGGTAAAAATTAAACATGCATTTATTTTATGACACAGGTGGCATCTACATTTTTAGGTTATTTTGCCTGAAAAGAATTTAAACACATGTTCACAAATGTATTTCACAAACTGTTTATAGCTACACTATTCATCATAGCCCCAGATTGGAAATAACCTAAATATGTACAAGGAGGAACATGGAGGAATGAACGCTTCCATCCTTCCTACTGGGCAATAAAAATCACGACTATAGATATACATGCCACTGTAAAGGAATCTGAAAAAGTATATGTTGTTTAAATGAAACCAGATATAAATTACTCTTTGATAAAGTAAGAAATCAATGATCTCTTTTGGAAGGAGGGTGGGGTTGTGGAACTTTTCCCAGGAGACATAAACAAATATTGGTCTCATGTGGGACACCAGTAACAGACCAAAGGAGAAACCGACCTAAGACTAGCTTTGTGAGTTTATTGGGGTTACTTGCAGGAGCATCAAAATGCATCTGTAACACTATGAAGCCTACCCAAGCATTAGTGGCAGCTCATGGAAGCTGTCCCCTGGACCCTAACTCTGACACCATTTTCAGGTAGCTCCTGCAAAGATAGTCTCCCTTTCCCACAGCCATTGCTACTTTTACAACCTTTGGGGGACCTTGTGACCCTCAGGGCTTTCTGAGATTCCCCATCCTTCTACACTGCATTAGCTTTCTGAGACTCACTCACAGGCTTCCCTTCTCCCTCCGAAAGGAATGCTTTGATTCTGCTTGTAGTGGGTTGGGGGAAGCTAACTAGAAAAGAGCACGAGATGACTTTGTGGACTACTCTACACTTCATTTTAGAAACGGTCGCAGTGACATATGTACTTGTCAAACCTCACAGGGCTAGCCACTTTAATGTGTGTATTTTCATTTGATCTGAACTGTGCCTTCAAAGGAAAGGCAGAATTTAATGTTCCCTTTTCAATGAAGTTCTCTCTATACAGATCAGAGTGGGAATCCATACTGGACCGGTCTTGGCAGGTGTGGTGGGAGACAAGATGCCTCGGTACTGCTTGTTTGGTGACACTGTAAACACAGCCTCTAGGATGGAAAGTCACGGGCTTCCCAACAAGGTGCATCTGAGCCCTACAGCCCACAGGTTGGTTGTCTGTTTACTTAGGCCTTCATTGTCCTGCCAGCTTCCCAGAGCCATCCTCTACCTAGCAGCATGGGGAAAGACAGGAAGGAAGGGGCTGCTTCTTCTCTGGCTCTGCAGGAAATATTGTATTACAGGCCTTCTACCATAACTTGTTTTCAATCCTATAACCCCTAGGCTAAACCCAATTTGTTAAAAATAATAGAAAAAACGTTATTGGGACAAGACAGTGGGACATTGGGAAAATAACCTGTGCTGAGCTGGATGGAGGAGCAATATGTGTGTGTGTATGTGTGTGTGTGTGTGTATGTGTGTGTGTATGTGTGTATGTGTGTGTGTATGTGTGTGTGTGTATGTGTCTGTGTATGTGTGTGTATATGTATGTGTGTATGTGTGTGTGCGTGTGTGCGTGTGTGTGCGTGCATGCATGCGTGTGTGTGTCCAAAAACAGAAGCTAGAATTAGCAATGAGATCTCCATGATACGAGAGCTATGCCTTTATTTACATATTGTCTATAGCTGATGTCTCTGTGAGTCAGGCAATCATGACAGAGATTGTGGCTCACGGTACCTGAAGCAGTCACTTCCTAGTCTTTCACAGAAAAATCTTATTGGCTTAGTTTAGCGAAGGAAGAAAGAGAACTCATAGTTGTTTCTGAACAACTATGAACAGATGTCAAGACGTAAAGAACGCTGTCTCTTGAACAGTTAGGGTTAGCCACATTTATATTTAAGTTCCTACTGGTTATTTGCTTTGGTGTTGAGCAGCTCCGTGAAGAAAAGCCACTGTTACTCTTATTTACATGAAATACATTTAAAAAACATTCCAGTGGGGTTTTTGTTGGGTTGTTCCTTTTGTTTTTAATTTTCCTGTTTGAGAGAGAGAGAGAGAGAGAGAGAGAGAGAGAGAGAGAGAGAGAGAGAGAGAGAGAGAGAGAGAGAGAGAAAGCATGGAGTTGGATGGTGGAGAGGATTTTGTAGGAGATAAGGAAGGGAAAAACTCGATCAGAATATAGTGTGTGAAAAATTTATTTTCAATAAAAAAAATGGCAAAGGAAAAAAATCTGAGATAAAGTCTAAACAAAACAAAACAACCCAACCCAACCAACCAACAACAAAACAGTTTGCCTCGGCTCTGAGAAGGCCAGAAAGAGCTGGGTGAGGTTCAGACTCCAGCTCTAACCATTCTACTCCCCCACCAGCAGAATTAGAGAGTGAGATATAGGAGGTTAGGAGGGTCAGTATCCAGAGGGGAAGGTTTTATGGAGATGCCTGAGCTGAATCTTGAACAAAGACTTGCACAAAACTAGGTCACTAGAGAGTAAAAACCAAGCGACAGGGTAGAGATAGGTCTTGAGTCCCCTGTGGCCACTCCCAGCCTTTGACACCTTGCTCATTATACTGGTCCTTCATGCCTCTCTGCTTCCTCATTGGGCCCCTCACCCTGATGTCCCCACAGGTGTCACCTCAGTTCCTCCCTCCTCTGTGGTGGGTCCAGGACTTGTCTGTGGTCTTTGATACCTGACATTTGGTTTTCTCTATCTAGAGCCCTGGAAAACAAAGGGTTTGAAATTGTCAGGAGAGGAGAGATAGAAGTGAAGGGGAAAGGAAAAATGACCACATACTTTCTGATCCAGAACCTGAATGCCACCGAGGACGAGATCATGGGGCGACCTTCAGCTCTCGCTGATGGGAAGGGTAAGAAAATCTACTTGTCTTCAGTGCTGGATGCTTCTCACTGAGCTCTTCAGAGGTGTCTGAAGTGGTCACTGGGTTAGACAGTCAGCATCCAGGCAGTGGAGCTGCAAGGCTCAGCTCAGCAGTCTCCCCTGGACTCTCTTATATCTGGAACTCCTGGGCTCGTCCTCACAGGATGCACGCGCATCAGTTCCGGTGCACTAGTCTACCAATGAGATGAATTTTCCCACAGATGCTCCTGTGCTAGGAAACTATTCTGATCACTTCCCCTGCCCCTTTACCCCCTCAGTGGCTCTCAAACAGACTCTCCTCACACACTAGAGCCTTCCACCTTCCTCATGTTTTTCTTATTGTCAAAATTGGATAAGGGATAAAAAAAATTATCACTCACTAAGCTTCAAAAATGAGAAGACAGTGGGACTTTAGGATTGAAAACCTGGTAGTGAGTTGGACCAAGGAGCCACTGTTTTGTTTGTGGTGCCCATAACAAAAGCTGGGATCCAATGCTGAGGTTCCCAGTGGTTTAAAGAAGACCTGGTCCGTCCCCTACACTTGGGGCCTGCAGCTGCTGCCCTGATTAAGAGAAAAATGCTGGCCGGAGAGGAAACCTGTAGCAAGGACAACCTCTGTCACCTTTGAAGAAAACAGAAGGAAGTGGGTTCAGCCCAACACTTGCTAATCTCCAACTGTTCCAAGATACCCCAAAGGAAAAGCTCTCAGTCCAGGAGCCCCTTGTTAATATAGCTGATACATGCAGGATGACTCTTGACATGTGACCCTTGACAATGACACATGAGCTACAGCTCCTCTCCTTGAAAGTGTTGTGGGTCCAACGAAGAGGTGGCTGTTTGTAGAGCTTTAGGATTGGACTTGAGGGCGCTTTTCTTCTAGCTTCTGCTCAGCTAAGCATCCCTGGCAGGTGAGGTTAGTTTAGGCTAGTTTTTTTTAGGTGGAGACTGAGATGAAAAGGTCTAATACAAAACTACAACAAACCCTGGTTTCAAACACCAGGGGCACTGCTCACCAGTGTTTGCAGCCTCATTTCCATGCATCTGGTGCATCTGGTGCAGCATCACGCCTCTCTCCCAGCAGCATGCCATTCTCAAGGGACAGAGACTATTTTTGCTTTTTTTCTTCTTGACTGTTGTGTTTGAAGTGGGTGGAAGAGGCAGTGCTATGCTGTGTAATGGTGGGAGCGACAAGGGCAGGGCAGAAGCCTCCGGGGGGTTTGCCTGGCTCAAATGCTGCCGTACAGGTCTATGCCACTCACTTGCAGGGTCTCCCTTTGCTTTCCAGGCTGAGACTGGCTGCTAGAGGCTGGCCATGGCTAGCAGAGCTAAACCCCTACCCAGTTTTGAGTGGGGAAAAGGGAGCCCAGAGTGACAGATAAGTAAGAATGTCCTGTCTAGAATACTTTAATATAGAATCCAAGAAACAGGCTGGTGGGAGATTATGGAAAGAGAAACAAGTGCTGGCTCAGTCTCAGGCCCGAAATAGGACTCTATACAAACTAGGAAAATGCACTCCTTTGGAGGGTGCAGGCCAGATGATCACCAGGGATAGCTCATAACAGAGGGAAAAGGCACCCTTTCTTTTGGACAAAGACGAGACTACTCCTTGTTCCTATTGGTTAGGTAGCACCGTGCAGATAAAAGTGTCATGCATCTCCCCGTATAGCGTCCTCCAATGGGACCAATCATTTGCTTTTTACACACTGCCCTGCTGTACCCCTTTCCCTCCTAGCTGTCTTGAGTTTCCTGTCATAAACCTTCTCCTAGGTTCCAGGCCATGGCATTTCTGTCTCTTGGAATGTCCTGTAATGCATGAAGTACAGTGGCAAAGACTCCGACAACCATGGAAAAGCTTGGGGATCTCAGGAGACATCTAGAAGATTCTGTTTCTTAAGGAACATGGTAGCCTCAGGGGTCCTGGGCGTGTTCCCCCAGTGACCATTGCTGTATCTGTAGAAGTATGATGAGTTTCTCAAAGCCAGTGATGGAGGAAGGGACAGAGTACCACTCTTACTTTTCCAGAGCCCACCTCTTTGGTCATATGTTTCCAGTTGACACAGGTGAGGAGGGAGGAGGTTTAGTGAACTTCAGGTGGCTCCAAGATGCATGCAGGCTAATCTCCTTGAGATTCAGAGCTGGGAAAGAACAATCCAGAGTGGAAAATGAGACAGATTTAGCAGTGTCTCTTCTGTGCCTCTGTGATGGTGACAACCTCACCAGACACTACAGACTAAAAGAAAGCAAGAACTTTTGGAGGCAGCTGTCTCCCAAACAATGCCCCTTCCCCAGAAGTCAGAAGCAGGCACATTCATGCAGCTTTTAGGGGCATGTGGATATTTTCTGTGTGTCTCTCAGCCTTCCTGACCAGGCATTTTACCATTGGACCTGCTGTCCTTCATTGGATGACACAAGGCCACACTCAAGGGTTTGCTGCTGATGGAGACATCTGAAGAGGTTCCCTCAGTCCCATGGTGCCTTCCCTCATGCTTTTTTGCAGAAGCAAGTACTCCTGAAAACCAAGTCAGGAAGTCCTGTGGTGAACTAAGGAACACAGACCATCAGCAACATGTCTACAACAGTGATCCAGCAGATGGTGAGTGTACTGGATGCTTTCACCAGACACCCACACTCAGCTCTGTAACCCCATGTAAGACCACAGATTAGATAGGGTGTGTTTCACTGGGACCAGTGGTGGAAAGAACCAGGAAAGGCCAATCTGAGTAGAATTTAGGGTCCTAGAGGAGAATGCACCTGACTTTCTGCTTACTGTGTTCTGAATGAGCTTTGCTTTTGAGCTACTGATAACCCAGATGCTCCTGTTAGTAAGGACAGCTCCATCCAATGCCTGCAAAGAAACAGATACTCAGAATACATTGATATCTATGTGCCCATCAAGTGGCACCAGAACTCTCAGTAGCATGCTTTCTTTTACTACAAAGTACTGAGCTCTTTGTGACCACTCCCTGCTGCTCACTCATGCAGGACACAGCTACAAAGCATAGCTGGGAACCTTATGCTCCATTTTGCTCCCAAGGTAGGGATGGAAGAGCTTTCCGGCTCACGCTCACTCATCTCATCTTGAGGAGTCCTTCAGCTCTCTTAGAAGCCAGTCTCAAGAAGAGCATACTATGTGGCTTTCAGCAGATAGTTAGAGGAGGAATGGAGACCCAGGAGTGGGCCACCCCAGTGGCAATCACTGTCACCCTCTAGAAACCAGGTTATTCACATAGTCTTAGTTGCTTTTTGTGTTACTGTAATAAACCACCATGACCAAAGCAACTTACAGAAGGAAGCGTTTCTTTGGGCTTATGATTGCAGAGGGTTAGAGTCCGAGATGACAGAACAGAGGCTACGGGCAGCAGGCATGGCAGCTAGAGTAGCACCTGAGACCTCACACTGTTTGACAGGAAGCCGAAAAAGTGAACTTGAAACGGCATAACGCTGTAAAGTTTCAAAAGGCACCCTTTAGTGACTAAGTCCTCTAGCAGGGCCATACCTCCAAAGTCTCCCCAAACAGCACCTCCAGTTGGAGACAAAGTGTTCAGATATCCAAGCCTACAGGGGACAGTCTCATCTCAACCACACGAATCCCCATGGGATGAAGCTTTGGCGGTATGCAAGGCTGAAGGGTTCAGCTGACACAGGGGAGTGTGGCATGCACGCTTTTCAAAAATCGTGGTTACTGAGACAGTTTCTTAAGAGAAATGAGACAATCTATGAGAAGAGTTAGAACAGTTCGACATCTTAGTAACCTGTGTGAAGAGCTCAGCTGCTGTCATCTTTAGCAGATAAAGTTTCTTGAGTGACAGGCGAGCCCTCATTATTAGGCACTCTCCCAGAACCTAACGATTCCCCTCTGGTTTGATCCCAGAAATCAAGGCTGAGAGATGATCATCTATTCAACTCTGGAGAGAGATCACAGAGAAAACCTAGTGATTCCCTTATTTAGAATCAAGGATGAGGGGAATTTGGGGTCCTGGCTTATAAGAAGCCAAGAAGATGTCATCCATGATGGCCAGGGGGCATTTCTCTCTTTTGTGCTCCCAGACTTCCTAGGTCTGCATGCATTGTCAGTTCTATAAAGGATAAGATTATACAGTCATAGATACACACAACAAATATTTCTCTTCACTCCAGAAACAGAGTGACCAGGCCGGTACTGTCCTGGGATTTGCTGGTTCTTGCCAAACTAAGTGCAGGAGATCATCTGCTTCATGTGGATTGTGCTTATGTCAAGAGAACCCAATAGAACACATGGAACACAAAGTAAGATAGGTTCAGATAGGGTTGAAAGCCAGGGAGGAAGCAGAGTAGTGGAAGAGACCAAGGAAGGCTTTCTAGAGGTGCCGCTCTGAAGCTGAAACCGGGATGCAGGTTGCTGCATGGCTCCCTGGACTGGAGCTGCCCAGCAGCATCATGTACTGAGATGTCACAGGCTCAGAGATTTCAAGGGAGACCAGAAGCTGTTTTTTTGTTTGTTTGTTTGCTTGCTTGCTTTGTTTTGTTTTCCTGGAAATCTTCGGAAGAGGATGGGAGTGGTAAGGGATACGAGGAAAGAGTTCAGGACTTCCAGAAGCTTTGGCCTTGAGCCTCCTCATTCACATGCAGAATGGATGAGTGTGAAGTGTGGGGTAAGTCAAGGCATTGCTGAGCATTTGGGAGCCTTTCAAAGGGAAGAGAATTCCAGTATTGGAACTCTTAAGTGGACCACACATTGCCCAGGAGAGCATGTCTCTAAGCTTTTCAGGCCTCAGGAAGATCAACAGTAGACTTTTCAAGACTTCTGTTACACAGAGCTCTTCCATGGCAGACCACCAGTGGGGCCAGGTAGGGCTGGGCATCTTGTTTAGAAGCAGAAGTCAAAGTAACTCTCTGCTGCCCAGATTCTGTGTTTCATCCAATGGCTGCTTTTCTACACACAGGCCAATGGGAGGAGAAAGAGAAACCAACTCTACTTGGGGAAAATTGTAAGGGAGGGAGCTAGGAGCATTTGATGGATGACTTTACAGTAGGGATTTTGCTCACTTGTCTTATTTGACACGTCAGTCATAGGACACAACAGTGGCACACCCACTCCTACAACAAAGACAGGACACTTGGAACTCAGAAAGGCTCAGTTATTTAGATAAGGCATACAACTGGTGAGTGAATGGAGCCCACCTTGATCTTAAGGATTGCCTGTCGTGGGCAGACCACATGTATGCCAATCTACTTTGGGTTACAAGTCAAGACAATGGTACAGTTTTTTTCCAGATGCTGGACTGTTCTATTTGACCTTCTTCACTCTCGAGAGCTCAGTTATGTTTCCTCATATTGCTGTGGGCACTGCCTGAGACAAGTTCTCTTAACTAAGTGTAATTAGTGTAGATGTTAATGACAGATCACATGGGAATGTAGCTTCACATGAGTAGCAAGTATCATACATACGGTGGGTGAGTGATAAACCATCAGGTGTATACCAGAAAACCCATGAAGTGAACAGACAGCCATATGGGTCATGGCCCCAAACCCACAGCTTTTCACAACTTTCCCTGTGTCTTATTTAGAGTTTCTATTGCTGTGAAGAGACACCACGACTACAGCAACTCTTTCTTATAAGCAAAATATTTCACTCGGGCTGGCTCACAGTCCATTGTTGTCATGACAAAAGCATGGCAGCATGCAGGGAGACACACTGCTGGAGAGGTAGCTGAGAGGTCTACATCTGGATTGGCAGGCAGCTGAAAGAGACAGTGAGACACTAGGCCTGGCTTGAGCTTCTAAAACCTTAAAGCCTGTTCCTACCACCTCCCCCAACATTGACACACTTCCTCCAACAAGACTACATCTCCAATAATGCCATTCAGTCCCTATGTGTCTATGGGGGCCATTTTCACTCAGACCACCACCCTCCTTGTAGTATGACATGAGTGTCCCATGGTGTAAGCAATCTCCTTCTCTCTGGGGTTGGCAGTAGATGCAGCTCTTTACTTTGTACAGCTTCTCCTGTGCATAAGGTGTGATGTCATCCTGGTTCCACTGCTAGTCTTGTAGGTTCGCAGGCCCGCTTAGCTCTTAGGCGGCTATGCAGTATTCCCTGAGGAGACATAACCCCAGGGAGGGCACCGATGATAAAATAAAGACATGATTTCATCCAATCACAGAAGACTTGGCAAATCACCAGGAGCCACGTCATCAAAAGCCCCACCCAGCATGTGTGATAATCCTTACAACCACTTGGCCAACGTGCAGGCAGCTCTGCTCAAGTCTTCCTACACTGTAGGCTTGGGGAGGCTGTGTGAGTCACAGCCTTCAGGGCTTCCTCAGCCTTATAAGCTTTATTATTTTCCTGAATCTTGTCACCCTTCTTCTTTCCTCCAGGAAGAAATATTTTGGTTCTGAGGAAAAAGCTCCACAAAAGTAGCGGACACCCCCCCACACACACATACACCCTGGTCCTTAGATGGGCGCCATTATGAAAGTGTTTCCATGGGCAGCCAGAGCCCACTAAGACTCAGAACTTAGGTCAGAGGCCTCGCTGAATCTACTTGTTTCTCATGCATTAGGGAATTGGGGAACACTCAGGACTTTACTCATTGGTCACATATGTGTCCACCTCAGCATATGACCATCTGGCTGGCTGCCACACATGGTGGCTCTGTTTGGCATGCTTTTCTATCTAATTTGGCTCATGGTTGTCAGATACAGACAATGCTTGGAAACCTTCTTGCCATGGTAGGTACCATTTCTCCTGAAAATATATTTCAGAGCCCTGGCAGCACCCAGGAGCACTATGTATATGCCTCTTTGAGGGCCAGACTAATTTCTCCTTCAACCATCTTAAGCCACCTTCTGCTATGACAATTAGAAGCTCTGGGCAGGAGTCAGAACTATAGAACTCTGGGAACACTTCAATAACATGCTTCTCCTCATCAAGTTTAGGATTCCTGGAGTACCTGCTATGGCCCTACTGAGTTACTTCTCACTTATCTTTTCCAAAGGGGGACAACTTTCTCACCATTTTCAATGCCCTGTTAGAGTGCTTCTTGGATGGGTTTGTGGTCTCTTAACTGCCAGCATCCTGACCCCTTCCTTTACAGAGTCTAGGCAACACAGGGTCTTTCTAGACATCCAATTAATTGGGGCTCAGCTGTTTGCAGCTAGCTGCTCAGGAAGGCCGGGTGCTGTACTCAGCTCCCAAGCCTTTCTGAGTCTTTCTAAAGTGTGACCATCACTGTCAAATTTTCCATACGTCTCTTACCCACGATCCAGGAGTGCCCCAGCTCTTCTTAACTTTGGGCTTTTTTGGAAGTTTGGCTGTTAATCCAGCAAGGCTCTATACAAGCAGGACTTTGAGAGGTGTAAATGGACTCTGCCCAAGTTCAAAGGTTACAAAAAGATGAATGTAGATTGTCAGTGCTAGAGTCAGTCTCTAAAATCACTGTTGTCACTCTGGAGGCTATGACAGAGATGCCACCCCAGAAGTGGATCCCACGTGGGCCGTGGGTGTCAGGGTCACAGAAGATCCTGTGAGATAGCTTGTGGACAGACAGCTGGGCATCACCCTGAAGACAGTTCAGGAGGTCCAGCAAATGATAGAGGGGTGAAGCTTGCAGAGGTTTAGTTGTAGCTGTAAAGACTTTCTTATATACACTGGCCAAATTGTGTTCCTAGGGGCCTGGCTCCAGTGGGGTCCCCCTGCAGGGAAGCCAGCTGGAGTCCTTATTCACTGACACTTCTGCCTTGTTTTAGCTTCTGATGAGGTCACACTTGCCGGGAGCCCAGTGGCAGGGCAAGACTCCACAGATGCAGCCAATAGCCAGCCACCACCAGATGAGACCAAGACAAGAGCCCTTGCTGGTGGCCCTGTGCTGTCTGCCTTCTGTGTTATGCTGTGATCAGGAGAAGCAGTGAACCTCTGGCATCTGCTTCCTGCATTCCATAGCAGGAAAGAAAATTGATTTGTAAAAATGCAGAAGTTCAAAATGTTTTTGTTTCTGTATCTTCCTCAGGACCCTTTGAGAATAAAATTCAGGAATAAAAAACAAGCCTGCAGGTCTGGAAAATTCTTTGCAGTGATGATTCAAGGCCAACCGCCAGCTGACTTGGGTTGTATTTGTTCTAGATGTTGACTTTGCCTATGGGTCGGTTTCTATTTGCTTGCTCTCAGCTCCACCACTTTCCAACCCTTGCCTCTGGACAGGTGCCCTAGGGTCTGCTTTCTCAGGACACTCTGACCTCGGGCTCCAGTGTGCCATTTAACTGGTAGTGGGAGGAGAGAGGAGGAGTTAGAGACCCAGACCCTGCAGTTATGTTACCCCTAAGAGCTGTGCTGTGGAAGGCACTGGGCCAGCAGGGTGAAATGTAGCCGGTTTTCCTTCCCGGTCTTGGGAATTCTGGGAAGCAACAGAACAGAAGCCACAATTCCCAAGAGATCTTTCTCTTAAAAGTAAAATGAAAAGGGAAAAAAAATGTGAAAATGCCCAAAGGGAAGATTTGGGAAAGAATAGAACCAAGGCCAAGTCCTGCCCAACACCCAGGTCCTGGACAGGGGCCCACCACCACTTCTAATTTTAGGTATAGAACTGCTTTCTGTAGACAGGGGAGGGTGTACTCAGAGCCTCTCTGACCTATAGGCCCCGGGACAGGAGGTGAGTAAGGGCAGACAGAAGTTGTGTATGCTCTACACATCTCCATGTGGATGGTGAGAAAAGATGCTATTTTTGTATCTGAGAAAATAAGAACGATCTTTCGGGCACAGAGAACTGTGACACATACTGGCTGGTAAGTTCCTGGTTCCAAGAGGCATCAATACATCAGTTTCCCTTAGCACCTCCCAGGAGGGCATGTATTCTGTCCACAGCCAACCCCAGGGATGGGAAGGTAAGGTCACAAAGCTAAATTTCTTGCTCATATCTTGGCAATCGCGTCTTTGTTGAGAAATGGACATATGCCGCTTGTAGCCCAGCAAAGCAAGACAGGTTCTGATGCAATGGGCAGCATCAGTAACTGGACTCTATTTGCAGTTCCTCATGGGTTGTATCTGTTTCATCCACCATGTCGGCATGTGGCTTAATGGTAGAGCACTTGCCTAGCCTATCAAGCTCCTATGTTACATGGCAGTACACTCTTCCCTATAAAATTCATCAACAATAAAATGGGTTAGTGGCAGCCATCTTGCTTAGACCACAGGTTTTGTGTGCACAAGAGCAGGTGAGCATGCACACAGGTGCACATTCACACATGCACACACAGTGTGTACACATGTGCAGTTGTGTTCAGGTCTTGACTTTATGTGTCTTCCTCTATCACTTCGCACTTCATGTTCTGAGATAAGATCTCTCACTGAATCTGGAGTTTGCTGCTTTGGCTACACTGGTCGGGCACCCCTCCCAGCATCCACCTGTCTCAGCTCCCAAGCCGGAGTTACTGATGTGCATCTAGTGTCCTGATTTCACATGGTCCCTATACTTTCACAACAAGAATCTTACCCACCGAGTCTAGGCCCCGTCCCACCTCACAGGCTTTGTTTGTGAGAATTCCATGAAGTTAAGACAACAGAAGTGCCCATGGTAGCAGCGGTTGGTAACACTTGTTAAGCATCCACTGTGCACCGGGCACTGGCTCTGCATGCAGATGTGACGACCCTGCTTGACAGCTCATCCAGTTTCACCTTGATGGACCAGGAAGTGAGGGCATGGCAGAGTTAACAGTCTGAGTCCATGCTGCCGGGAAACAGCCTGACTCTTGGTTACACCAGAAAGAGGTAGGGCAGTTTGGAGGAGTGGACCCAGGAGACATACAGAGTCATGTTGAAATCCCAACTCTAAGTTGGAAGTGTCATCGAATCTACCATGTTAGGGATAATCAGATAACCTGCCTCATGGGGCATTTAAAGACTGATCCTAAGTGTGGCGTCTCCCTGCTTAAGTGAGGGGACGGAAAGACAACAGAGTTCATGGCTCATTGCTGTCTCTGTGGACTTTCCTTTGAAACTCTCTAGCTGTGTCGTGAGCGAAAGCCCCAGCTAGAGAATGACCACTGTGAGGCAGTGGCATCACCTGGGAGACCAGGAGCAAGGCAGTCATTTGGTGGGAAGCCTTTCCAGTTCAGTTTGGAAGGAGAAAAGCCAGAGTCTGTGGTCTTGGATTGTTTTGCTGCAAGCTTTTTTTTTTTTGCTGGGGTCACAGTACAATATGCCACTTTACTGAACGTTGAATTTATAACTGCCAGAATTGTGCAGCAGGTGCCATAGTCCAAGCCAAAATCGAGGACAATTTTTGTTCCATATTTGTTACAATTTAAATAGTCATTTCCAGCTGTAAAACAAAGGCAATCCCTCCCTGCATTTGGTACCACCCCGGAGCTGACATTCTGTTAAACACTGCTGGAGACAATCTTCCTGGTGTTTGGATGTGTCTGTTACTTTTCTATTGCTACATTAAAACACTACAACCAAGGGAACTTATAGAAGGAAGGGTTTATTGGTGGTTACAGTTCCAGAGAGAGAAGCGTCCATCACTGTGGGGAAGGTTGGCCGTTCTCATTCGAACCACACTTGAAAAGCTTGGCAAGGCTGATAAAGTGCTCACTCACAGGGCCTCTACTACCTCAAAAAGCACCTTCATTTGATCTGGAATCTTCTGTGAGTTGAGGCCCTTGGACTCAGGTGAGGTTGTATTAACTCCTATTGAACTGATTTGCTCATAGAACGTCTATGGCCTGGCACACGCCATCTGGTGGGCTGCCACATGGCCAGCAGCAGACCTGGGCTGCCAATCAAACAAGAGGCTTCCTCATGAACACTGAACACTGTGCTTGGTGGACTCTAGGTAGAGCCCTTCTTTCCCAGGGCAGAACATTCCAGGGAACTGCCCTCTACAACTCCAGCTTGGTGGGCTCATTTTACCCCATAACCCCACCTTGCCCCTGCCCCTTCTAGCTTCTTCCATTTCAGGGCATCTGTCCCAGGCATGGCCTATCCAGATTGTGGCAGATGGCTGGTCCTCAGACCAATGACTGGCAGACTCATTGACCTCTAGCCACGGAGGGAGGTGACAGTTTCTAAATAAGAAGTTGGGAACACTCTGCTGCCTTGCTTTGGGAGCACAGAGTTCAAGCCCAGGATTGTAAAAGCCAGGCTGCTCCTGGCCCCACTGTCCTGCAGACCACAGTCATCCTGGATGGTGGAGGCAACATTTCTGGGCACTAAGAAGGAGAGGGGTGTGCAGCTTTCTCTTCCAGTGGCTCTCTTTGTGTTCAGCTGATGCTTCCTGACACTCCCTTCAGTCTTGGTGTCTTTCCCCTCTCCTAGGCTAAGATTATTTTTCATTCCTCACATACGCCTGGCTTCCCCCATCCCTTCTTAGTCTTTCTTACACTTCCAAGTTTCCTTCAGCCCACGTTGTGTGAGAAAGAAAGAGAGTGATTTGCTGGGTTGCCTGGCTGAGGGGTGAGATCATTGCTGTCCCCGCAGAGTGGATGCTGTGTGCTGGCCTGGAGACTGAAGAAAGCAAGCAGAGGAATGCTTCCCTCAGAGGACCATCTGGCTGAGACAGCCGCATGCTAATCTGTAGCTTTCGTTTTCTTTATTCCTTTTGGTTTGTTCTCCGGGAGCACTTCATCTGCAGCTGTACATTCAGACCTGGCCCCTGTGAAGGCAAGCGCTCATTTGGGGAGCATGTGTATTCACCCCCTCCCATGCTTCTTATAGGTGTCAGGAAGCCATTGTTATCAATAGTGGGTCTACGTAGCTTTAATGTCAGGGCTGCACTTTCAAATGGAAATCAGGCAATTATGTGTCACATAGAGAAACCTGACAGATGCAGAGGTTTTACACAACTGGCCTTGTCTGTGAGACAAAGGCACCTGGTGCTCCCGAGAGACCATTAAATAAATAGAATATGTTTTGAGAGCACAGAAAAACTCAAGAATAATTAACTCTGTGATGAGCATTCATAGACTCTGTGGCTGTTTAACTTCAAAATGTGATAATGATATGTCAACCAATTGCCTGAATCATTCCTTAAAGATGGCTTGAGAAAATCCGTCTCCATGTGTATTGAAACAGAGGAGAAGCTGCTCTGAGTTTCTGCGTGATGCAGTCCAAAAATTTTCAGAGGATTTTGAATAATTTTATTTCCCCTCAGGGGGTTTGACTTGATGTGAGGTGGGGAGGAAAGGACAGTGGCTCCATGTCTGCATCCAGTGGGATCTAATGATGGCACACTCTAGAGATCTTAGTGGCATGTCTAAGCCATCAGCATCTACCCAGGAACTTGGGTTCACATATATAACAGTACCATTGTGATACCCAGCTTAAGTCCTGTGAGCATAACACTGGTATGGCTATTAGTCATACTGCACAGACAGGAAACTGAGGCACAGATTTGGCCTTTAGACCCATCCTACCCAACTCTGATTTTAGCTCTCAGCCATTGGCTAGAGCCTTCTCTGTATTGGACTCGAAGACTGTACTCCTGACACAGCAGCTCATGTCAGATATGTGCTGACATGAACCAAACAGGAGAGACCTAAAGAAAAGTTACAGTTTGATTTTCACTTGAGATGTCCAGCTATTAAAAGAGACTGAAACATGAAGTAAGGTTTTGCTTTAAATGTCCTAGTGTAGGTTTATAGTTTACCACAGGCGAGGGTATCCCCAGATAGTAGTTAGGGCTCCTGTTGGCTGTGGAGAAAATACTCAGAGGTTTTTGACATCAGCAGAACCTGAGGTCTCCCCCAGACCCCTAAGCTGTGGTTTTGGATTATGAAAAGCTGAGGCACTTTAGAACAGAAAAATATAGGAGACACTGTATCTCTCAGAAACAGTACAGTTTTAAAAATAAAATATTTTAATTTATCCCTTGAGGATTTCATACATGTATAAAATGCATCTTGATCATATTCACCCCCCACTCTTCCCAAAAGTAATGTTTAAACTCAGCATATGATAAACAGATTAAGCAGGTTTACTCAGGGCTCTTGC